GTTTGAGTAAAATAAAGGAAAACAAAAAAAAATTATGCTTTAGACTTTAATTTTTTTCACATTAGACTTTCTGTTGCATAACTTTTATGTTTTATAATAAACTGATTAATGAACTCATAATAAATTAATTACTTACTTTACCTGACTGACTGCAAACACCTCCTGGTTATCCACCAACATCACAACTAGTGGTCATCAGCTAAAAAAAAAAAAAAAAAAAAAAAAAAAAAAAAAAAAAAAAAAAAAAAAAAAAACATGCATTAACAGTTTTTAAATGTCAAGTTAAACTATATTTAAACATTCAAATTTCTGATTCTGCTCAAAAGCTAATGTTTACATGTGCTTATCTGCAAGTCTGGTGGCTGATTTTCCAGCTTTGGTCATTGATTGGTGTGGTTCAAAATGGAAGCATGACTCCAATTCTGCCATTTTAAATTAATGTGTAAATAATGAAATATAGCAAAAACTAGCATACACTTTAGAAAACATGGTGATAAAGCAATTACAAATTGTTTTAGGATTCTGATTGTGCATTGAATTTTATAGCAAAAGTATGTTAAATAATATAATGACATATTTGGCATTATGTTTCATTAATGCAAAATATGTCACTTTGATAATGCTAACTACATTGTCTGACCATAATATTAATACCTAATATACTGCAAATGAACCGTAGCCTGATCCTGAAAAACAAACATTGTGAAATAATCAGCAAGAACTAGTTACACACTTTTACTTATAAAATGGGCTCATGAATCAGTGTACAAAAAAAAACAGTAAAGAGTAAAGCTCTGCCTTCTTTGATTCAATTGGTTGGTTAGGGACTTTGAGATTTATAGTACTGTATATATATATAAAGACAAATATTTGGGGGAATAATTTACCCATTTATAAATTACTTTGGGAGACATTTTTGCTTCATTTTCAAGCGGATTGAAGGAAAAAAGGAGGCGAGAGGTGTAGGCCTCTTTTGACAGGCCTATCATTACAGGGCACTTATACCTCATTTAACAGAAACCACAGTAGTAAAAAAATTTATAAAAAATAAAACAACTTGATATTCACAGTGTCCTAAAAATGCCCATTGTGAACTGATGTATTTATACACATCACTGATGTTAGCGGTATCATTTGTTAGAAGGCCTTAACATGATGTTAGCTCTCATTTTAGACTTGGCAAGTCCTTTGAAGTAGTATTGTCTTGAACACTGGAGTATCAGTTGTTTCACAAAATATAAAGAAATTGAAACGTGAAGGTAATGTTATATCTATTTATATGCATTATTTTTTTAACTATTCGCTAAGAAATATTGTAAAATATGCTGACACACTCACTCTTCCTTGAAAACGCTCGTTTTAGTCCTTATAAATGCACACTTTCGATTAGAACGATGAAATATGACGAAAATATGATTACTTCATATTCCTTGAGTAAGTAATAATAATAATTATTATTATTATTACAAAACTCCAGTAAAAATCATGACAGTTTACGTACTTGAGCCTTACCTCTCCCCTTTCTAACGTGAAATGGACGCAGGCTTCCCGCTGAAATATGTAAACTCCGCCTACTTTAAGTTGATTGGCCATCTCAGATCACCTTGTAATAGGTAGCCTAAAAAGTGCCTTTATTCATTTATTTATTTTTTATTCACAGAGTGCTGCACAGTAAATTTCCCTTTTGTCTATTTTTTTTTATTTAACGTTGAATTTCTAAAAATATTAAATAAATAGCACAAGCTTTTGTAAAATTTAGACATACTATTGTTTTCTGGATAGATTGTGACTAATTAACCTCACAAAATCAACCACAAATCAATTTTACTTGTTGTTTTCCCTAAACGATTGATTTAAACCTGTTTAAGAAAATAAAAACACAGTTAATCTATGAATCGATTAAAGAAGCCTTCATGTGTGCTGGTCAAAATGATCATGTAAATTGGCCAAAACTTGAATAATATATATATATATATATATATATATATATATATATATATATATATATATATATATATATATACACACAAAACAATTGCAAATATTTTATTGGAAATATAGTATATTATGTGCAATTATCACAGATATTGGGATCTGCATTGAGGAAAGCAGAAAGTGGTTTAAAGCACCCTTCAATAAAAGAAAGTGATTCTTTAACAAAATTAAATTCAGTTTTTATTTAAAAACAAAATAATAATGTGCAAAATAGCAACATGTCCTCAGATCAAAGTATCCACCGCATATTCAATGGGGTATATACTCAGCTAGGATTTTTCAGCCAAAGATGAACTTCCAGCAAGAGCTTTATGTGACGATTTTCAATTTCATAAGGTTCCTTTTACAGCATCGGTGTTGTAATGCAATTTAAATACAATCAGTTAAATAGACTTAAGCATTCATTTGGTTGTTTACACGTAAAAAGAGATGAAAGACCAGGCACCGTCATTAGCAGCAAACTAGAGCAGAAATTCCATTGAAAATCTGGGGTAAAATTAGTTTTAATATTTATAAGTCATGGCGTGGAAAAATATAATTAAATACTGCAATTCTTCTTTGGTCTGATACAAAATTTATGTAGTATCTCAGCCAGGCAGCGAAGATCGATGTTTTTTTAAAGAAATCAGATAACACTTAAAATACTTAAACGCAGCAATTTTGTATGGGATGACGATCGGATCTGACTGACAGAAATTAGGTCAGTGTGCATATACTCCATTATGCCATTGTGAAAAAAAGACTAATATACACATCTTTTAAATATTTAGGTTTAATATCCAGCATATGAAAATAAAAGTCATTTGTTTATTGACAACAACAAAAAGTTTTGTTTTGTTTTATTTAGTGAGAGAAATTCCTGACACTTCATTTTGTTCGGAAATTGAGATGAACATTTTATTACAATAATACACTGACTGAGGGAGGCCTGTGTGTCAGACAGACTCTGTGGCTGAAGTCTTTTGCTTCAGCAGCTGCTCTTTGCGAGTGTTCTGGTAGGCGCTCATGCACTCCTTAAACTTCAGAACCTCAGTCTGACACTTTCTCCAATCCTGATGCTCAGCCATACAGTCCAGCAGTGTGTAGTGCAGCTCAGCACAGCCCGTCTTGGAGATCATCGTGTCCACTGGATCCAAACACACGAATATTTAACAACTCTTTGAGACAGGTAATACCATCTATGCTGAATCCCATCATATACACTCTGAAGACAGAGGAGGTCATGGAATCCATGAAAGAACTGTACAAACGAAGAAAAATTAACACAGCTATAGAAAGAAAAATGAAATGTGAAAGGGGAAATTAAAATATATGTATAATATATATACTGTATATATATATATAAATATATAATTTTTTTTTTAAATCTGCTGTGATCATTCGACAAATTTCTAATATGCACTTAACAGATGTTGTTTTGTTTAATTTACTTTGTAAAGAGTCAATTATCTTTAAATATTTAAATCTTTTGTGTTGAAACCTATTAAAAAAAAACTGCTTTCCTCATCAGCATCTTCACAATCTTGAATATATAGTCAATTGTTTCAACTGAAACTTTTTTTTTTTCTTAAGACCATGTGGTGCAGGTATAACCTGAGCCTAATCATTATATTATATATATATATAAGTCTATATATAGTTCATGTAAAGAATGGGTCAAAATTATCAGTTCATCTTTTGTGCCAAAAATTATAAGAATATAAAGAAGATTATGTTTCTTTAAGATATTTTGTACATTTTCTACTGTAAATATTTTAAGACTCAAATTTGGCTTAGTAATATGCATTGCTAAACACTTTATTATAATGTATAATAATATATAATTATAATATTAGCAGTTGAGGCAACTGTCTTAATATATAGACTTTATTTTTAATCCTCAAATTGTAGATTTACAAGTAGTAGTAGTAGTTTTATATGGCCAAATATAGTCCTAACAATTTATACACCAATGGAACGCTTATTTATTCTTATTCAGTGTGATAAATCTATTAATTTACAAAAATTGACACTTATGACTAGTTTTGTGGTCCAGGTACACATCTTATTGACAGTGAACAAGTCGCCAGCACAGTACATTTATTGCAATGCACATTTATTGCAAGCAGCTGAAAAATTGAATTGCATAGAAATGTCCAGTAAGAGCATTTTTGAGTGAATGTGCAGCTCATGCATAAGCAGATAGAATAAAGTGGAATATTACACTATTTTGATCTTTGGCCACAGCACACTTGCTCCTGCTTTTTGGTCGATGGAGAAAAAAAAACAAAAAAAAAAAACGGCCTTTACATTGCAGATTTAAATGAATGGTTATATCCCACAAAGTTTTCTGCTTCTGTTACTCAGTGTCTACAGCTGGAGAGAGAGTGAAACCAGCATGCAGAAGAGTACGGCACCACATATCCCATTTCAGCTGATATTTTCTTCCCTTTTTTTCTTTCAGCCTAAAACTCAAAATGCTATTTTTGCAAATAATTTTCGTCTGCTGAAAATTTGGTCCGTCCTTAATTACATCTGTCATCCATTAAAATAATAACAATAATCAAAAATTACAACTGTACAATCAGTTTTATGATAAAGAACTTCCATTATATGCTGTATGATACGTGCAAGAACTTTCACTTTGCATACGTGTTTCACTCCAACAAACTGGCGAGACAGACAAACAACAATATTTATTTTTGCTGAAATAATCTGTTGAATGCCTAATGTTTTAACAAGATGCATTAAATATCCCTGAAATCCTATTTAACTTATGAGATCTACATTTTAACGATAACTATAACTGCAATGTATTTCATTTGTGGAATTCTTTAATAGAGGCAGTTAAGAGGCAGACCTGCTGCATTCTGGCAGATGAACAAAATTGAGAAGTAGTAAATAAAGAAAAAAAAAGCATTGGATAGTTCCACTGTTGATTTATCATCCATTTATTATGTCTGTAGGGAGAGTCGCTGCATCACCTAAAATCCCAAGCTCAAGAGAATGATCTGATATAAATTTGTCTGCTGGCTGGTAGAACAATGACACTGTGGAAGCTTCGCAGAAGGTAGAGACTGAACCATGTGTCCTTTTTCTCTCTATTTTACTGCAGTGACTTCTTGAATTATTTGTTTGGGTCACATCAGCAACTGGAAATTAAATCATTATTTGAACATTCTGTTATTGAGAGCATTGCAGTTCTTTTCTCACAGGTTACAAAGACCCAGACAGCAGGTGTCATGAGCTCCATACAGACAAATCCTTCAGCAAATCTGACCTTTGTTCGTCCTGCAAAATTTTTCCTCAGTGGCCTTTCTAATGTTCCACATGCAAAATACTACTATGTGTTCTTGTCTTTAGCTTATGTTGTGACTGTTTTGGGGAATTCATTTCTCATGTGTATCATGTATTTGTCCCGCAGACTTCACACAGCTAAATACATTGCTGTTTTTCATCTGGCCCTCTCTGATCTGTGTGGAAGCTCAACTGTTATTCCAAAAGTCATTGATACACTTTTATTTGATCACCAGGACGTTTCATATGAAGCATGTTTGACACATATGTTTTTTATTTACCATTTCATGAATCTGCAGTCTTTAACACTACTTGTCATGGCCTACGACAGGCTGGTTGCTATTTGTTTTCCTCTACGGTATCTAGCCATTGTGACCAAGCCGTCAATGTTTCTGATCGTAGGAGTGATGTGGATTTTTTCTGTGATATATTTTTCAGTGCTTGTAGGTTTGGTCAACAGAATCTCTTTTTGTGGATCTCGTGTGATAGACAGTTATTTTTGTGATCAAGGCATTATCTATAAACTTGCTTGTAATGATAATTCTATAAATCTAATGATGGGAAAAATTAGTTTTGGTCTCCTAATGTGCACACCTTTCATGCTGATTGTGATCTCATATTTTTTCATTGCTCTGGCTCTGCTTAAGATTTCTCATGGTGTTGACCGGATCAAAGCCATGAAAACCTGCACCTCACATCTCATGTTGGTGGCAATCGGGTATCTACCTTTGATAAGCAATCAAATTGCAGCGTTAACAACATCTATTGATCCAAACACTCGGATATTTAACAACTCTTTGAGACAGGTAATACCATCTATGCTGAATCCCATCATATACACTCTAAAGACAGAGGAGGTCATGGAATCCATAAAAGATCTGTACAAACGAAGAAAAATTAACACAGCTATAAAAAGAATTTGATGCAGCAGGAAAAATTTGAACTAATAACAACAAATTTAATGACACTTTCACACTGTTATAATTCAACTAATATCTAAAATAACAAACCTGTGTTTTTCTGTGTATATGTATATGATACTTTATTATTTTTTACTTTATTTTATAAGCTTAGCTGCTAATAAAACAATGTAGCCTTTTAAAGAGCTTACAATTTTTTTCCAGCACACCATCATCTTATATAAGCATACACTAGAACAGTGAATTACAGTAAAGAAATAAATTTATATATCACTCGTCATAAATTTATTTTTTAATTACTGTTATTTTGTAAACCAAATTTCTTCAAGTAACAATGGTTGAGATTCAATAGTAAAAGTAATTAATCATTTTTTATATTATTTAAAAGTATTCTTCATATCATTTTTTTTTTTTGCTGAGAAAATGGTACCGTTTAAGGTACTTACATTTTGTTATTGCAATGCTACATCTGTTGCAAATTTGTACATTGACTCTCAGCAGTCAATTGGAAAACCTTGTGTAATACATTAAGCTTTGACATCATAATTGTATTTGTAATTTAATTGTTTTAAATACAAGATATTTAACTAATATCATTCCTCATTAACAAATATTTAAGTAATGTATGTCATTGTGAAAAAGTCAATGTAAATATCTACTTGGGTAGAAAGGTTATAGTGCTGTAGCTTAACTACTTTAACTGATAAGTAGCTTGTATCTCATCAAACTACAGTACAGAGTACCTTCTCCAAACCATGCAGTTTAAAGCATTTGCCAAAAGTTTTAATGTTACAGTAATGTAACAAAACCTCCAGGTTGAAACCTAGTAAATATGATAAGCATTTTCATTTTGAAGAGACACCTTTACTCTCCTGATTACATTAATTGTTGTCTTCGGTGACTCATTCTCCGGTATTTGTTTGAGTTCTGCTAACTTTGATCCACACAAAGTTTAAATTAAACTTTAGGGAATCAACTTCAGTGAGCTAAATCATCATTTTCTATATATATTACTTTTATATGGCGTCACAGTGGCGCAGTGGGTAGCACGATCGCCTCACAGCAAGAAGGTTGCTGGTTCAAGCCTCGGCTAATTCAGTTGGCATGTTTTAATTTAACATGCCAACCGTGTTTAACAATGTTTTAAATTATTTTTTTTCAGGGCTTTCACCTTTATTCGATAGGAAAGTAGAGAGAATTGACAGGAAAGCATTGGAAGCAGAGAAAGGGGAGGGATCCGTGTAGCACCACGTGGCGGAATCAAATTCAGGTTGCCTTGAGCACTAGAGTGCATGTGTCGAAGCCCTAACCACTACACCATTGGCGCTAGTTGAAACTAGCGTTTCTGTGTGGAGTTTGCATTTTCTCCCTGTGTTGGCGTGGGTTTCTTCCGGGTGCTCCGGTTTCCCCCACAGTCCGAACATATGCGCTATAGGTGAATTGAATAAACTAAATTGGCCATAGTGTATGTGTGTGTGAGTGTTTCCAAGTACTGGATTGCGGCTGGAAGGGTATCCGCTGCGTAAAACATATGCTGGATAGGTTGGCTGTTCATTCACTGTGGCAACCCCTGATTAATAAAGGGACTAACCTAAAAAAGAAAACAAATTACTTTAATATATAAAACATATGGTTTTATATAATACCTTATTTGTGATCTAAAAATAATACATAAATATGTAAAAAGTCCTGCATCTTTATCTGCAATTCTACAGGGAAAAGGGCTGATCCATAACCCCAATCTCAAGTGAATAAACTAATATAAATGTGTCTACTGGCTGAATAGCAACATTGTGGAAGCTTTGCAGAAGGTAGAGTATATAAAACATGCACTGCTTCTTCTCTATGATTCTGTTCTTGCTCCATTACTTTTTATTATTGTTTGATGGGGTTATTTCAAAAAATGAAAATGATATGACATGAAAATAGTTAAATAGTAATTACTAAATTAATATAATGAAAATACATTATTTGAATAATCTCTGTAATTGAATGCATTTTTATGATGTTCCATCACAGTTCACACTAAAAACCTGGAACAAATATCATGAGCTCAATGGATTCCAACTCTTCTGCAAATGTGACTTTCGTTCGTCCTGCAACATTTTTCCTTAATGGATTTTCTAACTTTCCACATGCAAAATACTACTACTTGTTTTTGTCATTGGTGTATGTTGTGACTGTTTTGGGAAATTCATTTATCATGTGTACTATTTATCTGTCCCGCAGACTTCACACAGCCAAATACATTGCTGTTTTTCATTTGGCTCTTTGTGATCTGTGTGGAAGCTCAGCTGTGATTCCAAAAGTCGTTGATACATTTTTATTTGACCACCAGGACATTTCATATGAAGCATGCATGGCTAATATATTTTTTGTTTTTCATTTTATGAATGTGCAGTCTTTGCCACTACTTGTCATGGCTTATGACAGACTGGTTGCCATTTGTTTTCCTTTAAGATATCATGCCATTGTAACCAAAACATCCATGCTGCTGATATTAGGAGTGATATGGACATTTTCTCTAATATTTTTTTCTGTGTTTGTAGATTCTATAAATAGACTCTCTTTTTGCAGAACTAACGTGATTAATAATTATTTCTGTGATTATTGTACTGTCTACAGACTAGCTTGTAATGATAATTCTATAAATATTTTGATGGGAAAACTTGGGAATGATCTCCTTGTTTTTACGCCACTGATATTAGTCTTCATTTCATATTTCTGCATTTCTCTGGCTTTGTTTAAAATTGCTCATGCTGTTGACCGGACCAAAGCCATAAAAACATGCACCACTCATCTTATGTTAGTGGCAATTTTTTATATTCCAATTTTAAGCAATAATATTGCAGCTTTAACAACACCATTCACTTCAGACATTCAGATAATAAACAATTCCCTGACACAGACAATACCACCTATGCTGAATCCCATCATATACACTCTAAAGACAGACGAGGTTATGCAATCTGTAAAAGAACTGTACAAACGCAGTAGAATGAACACAATTAGAGTAAGTAAAACAAAATGCTGAAAGAGAAATAAAAACGTTTACCAGCTTAATATATTTGCTGATTACCAATGATTTTTAACAGTACCTAATTGGTTTTGCCAATTTTGTTTTACACCTCTGAGCTAAAACCCATAGTAGCTATTCTTTAATTGCATGCTTTGTTCAAAATAAAATGCAAATAATTTGTGGCACCACATTAAAGTTAATTTTCTGTTAAAAATAAATCAACAGAGAATATTTTTCATTAAATTTGCTTTCAATTTGAGATGTTTTAGAAACGCTTCTGCATCATGTTTGTTATAATCATGAACCATGTTTTTAAATTGTTGTGTATTGCTAATTAGTTGACCAACAGACAGTTTGTGAATTGAATAGTGACTTTCATTACAAGTGATCAATGAACCTTTCAATCACCAAAAGTAATAAAATCACTGCACAACAGCATAACGCCAGCACATGGTACACAATGCTATATAAAAGCTATTGCATAGATAAACCCACCCAGAGTATAACACAATGGTATTCTAACATGAATAAATATGTATATGTAAAATAAAAGACACAGGGCACATCTTGTTCACCTACCTATGTATATTTGTGAAATTAAAAACAATTCACCAAAAAAAAAAAAAAAAAAGTTAACTTTTGTTGTTTACTCAGATTTGTATTATCCCAAACCTGTACTGCATTACAGGAAATAAGGTATTTTGAAAGTCAACACGGTCTAAACAACATTTTGTCCAAATGACAGCAACATCACTGATTTGTCTGCATACGCAAGTAAGCTAGATTTGGAATTATTTGAGCCCAAAGTGAAGAGAAACAGTTGGAGGTCTTAAACCGGCAGGATAAAAAGCTTGGGTGGCACAGACGGGGTAAGGAATTGGATTGAGACTGGCAGGGCAAGAAGCTTGAACAGCTGACATTAAGCCACATACAGTTGCTGGAGCAATTACTGGCAGGTGTGCTGGGGCTGGAGCCAACACTGAACCGGGCCAGCAATGCCATCTGGCTCTTCATGAACTGGATCTGGGCCTGAATCAACCATGCCCTTTAGGGCTGCAGAAACTGGATTGGGGCCTGAGTCAACAATGCCCCCCCAGGGAGGCAAAAACTGGATTGTAGCCTGACACAACAATCCCCTCTGGGGCTGGAGAAACTGAATTGTGGGTTTCAGCAGGAGGAGAAATTCTGGGAACTGGAAGGGGTCTATGGCAACATGGTAGCAAAACAAACACTACAAACAAAACATTGGGGTTAACAATAATGGAAAGCAAACAGATAAACAGATCAAGGAGTTGCTGTGTTGGTCAGGTCTTGTGTCACAATTTAGCTGAAGTAATGAGAAGACTTTGTAGAAATAAAGTCAAAGCATTGTTCAGCAACGTGCACACCTCCAAATGGTGTTGAACGAGTCACATAATGTATTTATAAGATATAATTCACCCCAAAAATGTAATTTCTGTCTTAATGTAATGTATTTGTGACCGCAAAATCACACATGACGTGAGCTGACCGTCAGCTGTTACCACAGAGAGGGCGACGCACGTGCACCTCTGAATAATGTCTTCTTCAGTGACCAGAACAGACATAGGCTGTGAATAACAGCTAATAAAGTTTTAAATAACATCCAGTTTGTGGCACAGAGTGATTGTTTTGGAGCCACGCGGGAAGAGAACCGTTCTTAGCAGTGAAAATGAAACCGAAAGCGCACACAGTGTTGTCAGATGTAGTTGACTGATTCCAGCCCAAAAAGTATCCAAACCCTTCCGAAATGCAAAAATACCCACCCAGTCATCTGTATTCATAAAAATCACGTCAGTGACAGATTTTAAGCAGAAAATGACAGATTGTAAGCATACGTTACAAACACAATAATTCAACATCAGAATTATTATCAGCATTAATGACTACGACAAATCTAAAATCTGTTCAAGTCCACCGTTCCAATACAAAATTTAGCATTTTAACCAACAGTACAGCTACACAAAGCCTATTGCTGTTTTACCACATATTTGAGAATAACAATAATAAAAGCCCACTTATATTAACCTTTATTTTACATCTACAGAATTGTGAGAAAATCGTGATCTTTATTTTAGGCACAAAAAAAAATGTGATTTTCATTTTAGCCAGAATCGTGCAGCTGTAAAGGTGGAATAGTGAATGAGGGTACAGTAGGGGTGATTTCAAATACAGAAGACAATTTTATTTGCCCAATTCACCAACAGACCTTTTTCTTAGACCGCAAAATTACCCATTATGCTTTGCGTGTATGTGCAAGGAGAATGCTTCAAACTTCTGTTCGGCAGCTGATGTGTATAAAGAGTCACATTCGGACAGCTTTGAAACGATAGTTTTAATCGATTTTGTTTGCTTTTAACACCTTTAAGCGAATACTGCAGTCGATCAACACCACTTCTGAACTGATTATTTTTAAAATGTGATCTAATGTGTTGGAAAACAACTGCTCCAAGGCATTGTTCCCTTGTTGTCAGACGGCATCTTGTGCCATTTAAATGAAGCCTAGTCATCGCTTAAGTCAGCAATTTCTCTTTCTTTCAAATAAATAAGCAACCCAAACAAATGTAATTCTCCAAAATGCTTGAGACACAAACATAGCTCGTACTGTACTAACAAAATGATTAAATAAGTGTTATAAAATAAAGTGAAAATAAAGTGGCATTTTGAAATAACAAAAAAAAACACATACCATGGTAAATACTACACAACACAAACTAACTAGATGAAACATGCTCCCGATTAGAAAAGCTGCTGAGGACAGTAAAACAGCTGAAAGGTCGGAAACACTGACGCTATACTTCAGCATCTGATCTGACGGCAGACACCAAATTAGAAAAGCGCTTTTCTCTCACACTTGAACTGCATCTGACAGAAGTATAACGGCTTTAACACGCGTCTTTCTTTCAAAATTAAATTACATCACAAAAACACTCTGTAAGCCACTGAAAACAGTATTGACACCCAGTTGAGAAACGCTGCTCTGGCTGATAACAGTTCTTAATGTAAGTTCTAAACACCCAGAAGGCGCTGGTCACTATGGCGCCCTCTATGCAGCAACGAAGAAAAAGGTTTATACTGAATGTCTTTGGACTGTGGCAAAAACTGGAGCACCAGGAGGAAACCCACAAGAACACAGGAAGAACATGCAAGCTCCACACAGAAATGCCAACTGAACAGAGACCTTCTTGCTGTAAGGCGACAGCGCTAACTACCTAAATATTTGTACAACTGTATTTGTACCTAAACATATTTTATGTTAAATCACTTAAATAAGTCTAATAGAAATACTCTTTCCAGTCTAACACATTTTGAAAAAAAGTCCAGATAGGCAAACTTATTGTTGTACAGGGGTAAGCAATTTTGGTTATAACATTGCTTACTATGATTTAACAGCTTTGGGGTAAAGAGGAACTGGTAGGAATATATATTAAATATAATTTCTATCATCATTTACTCGCCATCTTATTATTCCAAACCATCATTCCCAAAGTTTCAACATAAATATTTGTAAAGCAATATGTGATGTTCTAGTCCTTGCGTTAAAGTCTGAACACTGATCAACAAGCAAATAGAAGCTCAAAGTTCATATGAAGATAAACTTTAATTCTAAATTACTACCGTAACATATAAAAATATATTAATACAAATAATAAATACCACAATCTCCCCAAAATACTGACATATAATTGCTGCTGTGGTTGTTTTGAGTGGTGCATGAAGCCATGTAAATTTGGGTGGTCTGTCCAGGGCTCACAGAGACAGAGAATTAGATGGATTGAGATTTTACTACAGAACTTTCATTTTTGGTTGTAGTTTGCTTTTAAACTGTAAAAGTGCTATACAAATAAAGATGAACTGAATTGAGATGTCCCATTTATCCTTGCAAAGTTCAACAGCAGAGGGCGCAAAGATAATAGAAAATTTACAGTATGGGATGTTGTGGTCAGCAATACTGTCATACAAACATTCTTAAATGAATAAAGCATTTTTAGCTCTATTTTATTATTAAGTCTTTCATTTTATCATGGTTTACACATTCATCTTTGTAAAAATCTTTTATCTTCATTTCAACATAAGCCTACTCCCGCCCCCGTTTACAGAAGTCTACAGGGATCTACGAACAAAAGTCCAAAGCACAACAGAACGATCAGATATAAATATGTCTGCTAGCTGGTAGAATAAATCCATTCTGTCAGCATTGGAGAAGGTACAGTATGAACCATAGTATGAGTCTTTGATTCTGTATACTAATTTTGCTGCAGCAATGCAATAACTTTAATATTATTTCAATGTCAAACATCTGTTTATTCACTTTTGCTTATTTATTGTGGATGTAAGGTGAATCACTATATGAGTTTGCGTCTAAGTTTATTTCTTAAACAGGTCTTCATTACAGGTGACACAAAGACCCAGACAGCAGTTGTCATGAACTCCATACAGTCAAACTCTTCTGCAAATGTGACCTTTGTTCGTCCTGCAACATTTTTTCTCAGTGGCCTTTCTAATGTTCCACATGCAAAATACTACTATGTGTTCTTGTCTTTAGTGTATGTTGTGACTGTTTTGGGGAATTCATTCATCATGTATATCATTTATTTGGCCCGCAGACTTCACACAGCCAAATACATTGCTGTTTTCCATCTGGCCTTTTCTGATCTGTGTGGAAGCTCGGCTTTGATTCCAAAAGTCATTGACACATTTTTGTTTGATCACCAGGACATTTCATATGAAGCATGCATGGCCAATATGTTTTTTGTGCTTCATTTCATGAATATGCAGTCTTTAACATTACTTGCTTTGGCTTATGACAGACTTATTGCTATTTGTTTTCCTCTACGATATCATGCCATTATTAACAAATCAGCAATGTTTCTGATCATCGGAGTGATGTGGATTTTTTCTGCGACATTTTTTTCAGTAGTAGTTGGTTCGGTCAGCAGAATCTCTTTTTGTATATCTAATGTAATTGATACATACTACTGTGATTTTGCCCCGGTCTTTAGACTAGCTTGTAATGATAATTCTCTGCCTATTTTGATGGGAAAATTGTGCTTTGGCATTCTGATTTGCATGCCTCCAATACTCATTTTTGTCTCATATTTCTGCATTTCTCTGGCTCTTCTTAAGATTGCTCGTGGTGTTGACAGAAACAAAGCCATCAAAACATGCACCTCACATCTAATGCTGGTGGCAATTTTTTATCTCCCAATTTTAAGCAATAATATTGCATATGCAACCACATACATAAATCCAAATGCCCGGTTAATTAATAACTCTCTGACCCAGACAATACCACCCATGCTGAATCCCATCATATACACTCTGAAGACAGACGAGGTCATGCAGTCCATTAAAGAACTGTACAAACGCAGCAGGGTTTATGCTACTATGGAACGGAATAGGAAATGCCATGGAAGAAAATGAAATGATTTCAAGGTATTTGGAGCATTGCATTTCAAATGTTAGCTGTCTTCCATTATCTGCTTTTATCACCTCTGTCTTTTTGTATATGTAAATCTGTTATAATTTATATTGCCTTTTTTGAACTTTTTAAAAATTAACCAGAATATTTTCACTTGTCAGGGTGAAAAACAGTTTTGTGAAGAAGCTCTTTCACTGACCTGTGATTAAACTGAAACACAATGTTTGTATGTTATGGGATATACAGTATATATATATATATATATATATATATATATATATATATATATATATATATATATATATATATATATATACACACACGCACACACACACACACACACGACACATTTAAATTTGTTTGTGTACAATCAATATTTTTATGAACACCTGTTGCTGATGTGTAGATTTTTTTAACTACAAGTAAAGTGCTTTTGCTTATTGGAACCTTTACATTTTATAATGATGGCTTAACACCTAATGTCACATGTTGCATGTGCAAAATTATTATTGTGCATTTGATAGAAACAATTTACTATTCATAAGATAGTATTCATAAGCAAAAATTGAGAAGTAAATTTAGTGAAAAGAAGAACTTTGCAAGTGACCATATAGGCTGATCATATAGCCTTTTCTATTTTTTTAATCCCCTAATTGACATGCATGAGATAGGCCTACTGTATTAACGGTGTTTTTCATTTAGGCATGGTTTATCTGATGAAAAGAAGTCATTTTCTATAGCTTATGTTCATATAACAGCAATTTTATGGTCATAATGTGTATTTTTAAATGGTTGCCAGTAATAATTTCATGAATATATTGTGTGCAAATTATTAATAGGAATCATCAGTTCAATTTTAAAACTTTATGAAATTAACTATGTTTATCTCATCAAAGAGCTGTCATGATAATCATTTATGATATATCAATAAAACAAATTATTCATTCATTCATTCATTTTCTTTTCAGCTTAGTCCCTTTATTAATCTGGGGTCACCACAACGGAATGAACCACTAACTTGTCCAGCATATGTTTTACACAGTGGATGACTTTCCAGCTGCAACCCATCACTGGGAAACATCTATTCACAGTCATACACACACATAAGCTCCATCCCAAATGGCACACTATACAGTAATGCACTATGTACTTAAGCACTTACACACTCAACAGCATAGTACATGCATGTTGTATCGTTCCAAAAACACAAATGTTTTTTTACTAAGCTGAAATTCAACGTTTCCCGATTGATGTTTGCTGGTTGTCAAATTAGTCAAATAAATGACCAAACTACCCAATAATACCTCCCATGAGTTTAACCGCATTTACCATCGGGAGGCACTATAATCACGCTCATAGGAGACTTTTGCTTTTACAATCCAAAATAAATAAAGTTATCTAATGTGCACCTGAAAGCTCCCGCTATGTGAGCAAAACTGCGGTAGTTGAGTGCATAAAGTGTCTATCATTCCATACTTCATTTTACTGGTTGAATGAGTGCATAGAAAATAAAGAAAAATAAAATAAGGCTGGCTGAATATGACAAGACGTAACAAGGACATTTAACAGCTAAAACTGCACTTAAAATCTTTAGGTGTAAAACAGTGAACATAAGTAAGTAAAGTTAGTAAGTAAAACAAATTAAGATATTTTAAATGAAATCTGAGTTTTTGATTTGTTTAAAGTCTAGGAAATACCTAAAAACATCCTCACACCAATTTATATTTAGCATTCGTTTAGTTGTTTAAGCGTAAAACAAGATGAAAGACCGTTGTAACCACTAGTGCTGTCAGTAGCAACAGGTTAGCGCAGAAATTCCATTGAAAATACTGGGGTAAATAAACAGTTATATTTTAAAGACATGGCAGGGGAAATGGAATTGAATGCAGTGATTCTTGTCTGATCTGAGACCCACTTCATGTCGTATATGTAAAAGGCAGTGAAGATCGTTGATTTTTAAAGAAAAACAGGTTCACATGAAGGGGTGTCCCAATTATCTTTAGCTTGAAGGCATAAGGCTAAGGGGAAGAGCTAGATACCACTTGAAGCTGATATTTTTCAGGACCACACTCAAAACCAAGGGGTAAAAAAATGTCACCATCTACAATGGCACCATGGCTGCACACTGAAGGAGATGCACAAATTTGTATTTTTTGTCATTATGAATTATTACAACAGACAAGCATAAGTTTTAATACATTCATAACCTCGTTTTACCATCATGCTTCAACCCTCTACTGCAAGCTGTCACCATATGGCAACATGATACTGTGCAACAGTGGAACGTGCGATATTGCAATGGGTTAGCAAGCTAGCAAGGTCAGCTGTAAACTTTTAAGATGTAACAATAACAACATGAAAGCTAGTAATATAATGTTGATTACTTGTATGTTAATGACATTTGCATTATGGATGAAATCTAGTTTTAATGGCAATACTACTTTTGAATAGATACAGGGAACAGTGTATTAGTGAGCACTACCATGTTCTAGGGTAAGTGAAAGAAGAAAAGGACAGAACTGGCTCTTCATGCAGATGAAAGTGAGGGTGAGATGGGTTTTAGTGACCATGAGAATGATGCAGACTGGACATTTGATAGAGACAGTTCAGGTAAGTTAGCTCAGAGGCAGATAAGACAGGCGTAGTATAGTATATAGTATAATATATAAACATTTTTAGCTAGTAGCGCATCTGGATATATCAGACTTGTTATTTCTTTGTTAATATTTACTGGAGAAAATATTTATAATTACTATATGTTGTATACGTAATAATACAATATTATGCTGGTTTTTAAAAATATTCAGCAAAAAAGAAAGGAATAAATGAAAGCTGTTGGAATACGAGTTGTTGAAAAGTATGTATAAGGTGTCATTTATAAGTTCTGTGTTAAAGCTTATAATACTGCAACACCAATTAAATAATTTTAAACAACAAAATTATTAATTATAAGGAAAGTTTTAAATTAGAAATTTCTAAGTTGGATCCACTTTTGGACGTTGTTTCCATGGCAACATTTTATAAAGTACCTTAAAAAAATGAAAATTTACACTTCAAGTGTAACGATTTATCATAATGCGTGCAGTAGAGGGTTAAAAAAATGCTAAAATAAAAAACGCTAATATTCACAATCTATTATTCATAATAATAACACTTGTATAGGTGTCCCACAACATTCTGTCACACGATAACACTCAAATACCCTGTCAGAAAAGTGTAGTGTCTGGAAATAAGCTTTTTACAGTGTAAAATGGTATACTGTTAATGTAGTTTTTTTGCATTTACATTTATATATTTAAGGCCAGGGTTTGAATACACAGTACAGTTACAATCTTATTGCCACATTACATTGATAAGATAACGTGATATTGTTACCTTTAGTGATTTCTTGAAGATAAGTTCCCAAAAATAATGCAACTGGAATAACTACAGCTGTCTTGATCGAGATCTCATATGAAGCAAGAGATTGCAATGACATAGTGACGTATATAGGTGTTGTAGTGGTGTCCCATTTCTTAGGGGTACACTTTAAAGCCCTTCCCCTTCACACTCTGTTTCAATGGCCAAGGGGAAGGGGTAGATATTGAGTTTTGAACACCTGACATCACAATCTAAATCTAACCTAATATTAACGTCTTATGATTTTGTTTGCCTGCTGGGTAATAACTAGATGCATGTTAGATGCAGGATGTTAAGTTTACACACACACACATGCACAAATTACATTTAAATGCATCAGCTTTTTACAGCGTAAAGACTTTACTCATACTTTGAGTAATATTTACAACAGATACTTTTACTCTACTTGCACTACACTTTTAGGCAAATAATGGTATACTGGAGTATGGTATTTCAGTACTCTTTCCACCACTGGCTATCTGCCTGGACGGTGCCCCTATGAAAGGCAACGTCCAAGAAAACTCTGCGGGTGGGCATCCCCTCTGAGATCCTGAGTGACTAGGGTATCCTGTTCTTTTCGTGGCTGATGGTGGACATCTGCCACCTCCTGAACAGGAGTGGACATCTGTGTATTATCCCCCAACAAACAAGCTCATCGAGAAGTCTAACCAAACCCTGAATACTAAAACCTTTTTCAAGATTGGTTGCACCTGTGTTAGGATTGATTAATTTTACTTAAAAGTCACTCAAATCAATGTTGTGTTGTAATCAATCAGCATTAAGTGACTACAGGGTTTGAAATCCACACAAACTTTTGTGCAGCCTATTTTTCAGTTTCAATTTATTTTCACACATCTCAGTACTGCAACACTACCTATTTCTGTCTGAAAAACATGACAATCTAGCGTTCTATAGAATCCAAACGGCATATCACTGTGATCTTCTTTTATAAAGAAAGAGCACATAATTATTCCACAGAGGGGTGGCCAAACTTTTGCATAAGGTGCGGTCACACCAGAGTTTAAGTATGCGAAATTCTGTCATATGGCTCTGCGAAAAGGGGATTAAACAAGATGATTATACATTTAAAAAGCAAGCGATTGCTCCATATTTTAAATTTCTGTCCAGAGAGGTCATGTTTTGATCCTTGATTGGTCTCACGCAGTCTAGCAGGTCAGAGTTCACCAAGCTAGAACTTTGCACCGCAACAACCTGTGAAACTTGACGCATGACCCTGCGTGTCCGGTCTGACGCATTCACGTGCGTATGAATGGAAGTCTATGAGAGGAAAAGCCCAGTATGACCGCAGCTTTAGACTGCACTTGGGCTGACATGGTGCAATAATACAACAAATAGAAAGATAGTGAGACTAAATGGTCAATCTAACTGTATTCTGACCACCACTGCTGACAAACACAATTTACAGATAATTTGTAATGGAAAAGTGAATCTAAAGAATGCTGTTTTAGACAGAGTAAATTGACTCCAAGGTTAATAACTACCATACTGCTGCTAAAACGTCAAGATCTCAGTGATAAAAAAAAAAAAATAGTCTAAAATACTTAGTTTACTTTGACTACAACTAGACTTTAATGCACAAGATTTTTAGTTGACTTAATCTTGACTAAATAACGGGATAAAAGCTGACTAAATATGATATAAGGTAATAAGGACATTTAACATGGGACTATTCAAATTGAGTTGAAAATACATGACTAAATTAACACTAATTCACACATTGCTGAACAAAGATCTACCTGTCAGCATGCTCAGCCTTAAATGAAGCCTGAACGAGGCACTGGAAAGTTGAAGTGTTTGTTCATCCAAAAAGTGAAAACTATGTTATTAATTACCCTTGTGTTGTTAAAAATCCCTGAGAACTTTGTCTTCGCAACCCAAATTAATATATTTTACAAATTGAGAGCTCCCGCATTCTCCACAGACAGAAAGGTCCCTGACTTTTAAGAAAAATATCATCAACAAAAAGTTACAAGAATTATTTTGTGCAAATAAACAAACAAAAATAATGACTTTATTCAACTGCTTCTTCTACCCAGTGTCCTTATAGTGCACATATTCATTGTGCAGTGACTATACGAACACAAACTTTTGAATAAGCAATTTTGTTTTATATAGAGATGAAGGAAATATCATAGCTTGATATATTTATTTAAGGGAATTAACCCTTGAAATGCTTTGATTCCATGTTTGATGAACACTCTTTGCCCTTCGCCAATTTATGTTGTTTTGATATTAAATTATAGTTTTGCAAAAAAACACTTCCTTTTTTTTCTGTTTTTTTTTTGCGCTTCCTAACTCTAGAGTAAATGTCACACATTAAACCGAGAAAATATGCATAGGGCTATCATTATACTTATTGAAATATTGCTCTGATTGGCCAGGTAACAGAGGTGTGGCATTGTTGGATAAAGGAGACAGAGACTGGTTAAAGAGACTGACACCTGTATTCAGTACATAAAGGGTTTGGGTAAGTTTAAAACTGGGCAATCTTCCTTAGGTTTATTCTGTGAGTAAACCAAATTGATCCTTCATTAACTGTATTATTATGTAACCTTTTGTTTCTGCTTTTCTGCAAAGACTGGATGGAAAAAATAATTTAAAAATGAGTCAAGACGTGTCTGGAAACAAGAACATTTCCTTTCAGCCTGCTGCACACTCTGGTATACCTCACATGAGATACTACTGTATATTCCTGCTTATTGCGTACTCCATTTTATTTCTAGGAAACTACTGCCACACAATTAACATCATTGTAGACAGAAATCGCCAAACTACTAAACATACTGCTGTTTTTAATTTATCATTAACAGGTATTTTTGGAAGTATGACTGTTATCCCTCAGCAACTTGGTGCATTTTTGTTGAGGAATTGTTTGATCTTGTATGGATTGTGCATGTACATGTTATATGTTTCACTGCAGTCTTTAACTCTAACTATTAAGTCTTTTGACAGATTAGTACCTATGTGTTTTCCTTTGAGAAATAACATGACTGTGACTCACACATCAATGCTTGCTGCAGTTGGTTCTTCATGGACACTAGAACTAATACAAACATTTTTCACAAACAGACTTTCTTTTTGGAGAACCAGTGACCCAAATGTCACAAATGTTCTGTTTCAGGTGATCATCGTGTTTCCAGGTTTTTGTATTGCCTTTTCATACACATGCAGAGTTCTGACGATGTTCAGAATCAAAACCCCTACAAGATTATCAAAGAGCAATGAAGACATGTACTTTTCATTTAAGATTAGTGGCCGCATTTTGTGTCCAACTGTCTAACACCAATAATTATTCTTTCTCTCACTTGCGTGCTTTTTCCATTCATGGTAGATAAGTTAAGTGTGTAATGAGTGTGATTGTCTAAAAAAGAAAAAAGGAAATACTATTTATGTTGCAGTTATTACAACAGCACTAGTTTTTTTTTTTTTGTTTTTTTGTATGGAATACTTGTCAATTCATTGAAAAAGTTATTGTCATTAAACAATATAGACTATATTTTAAAATATTATAGAATAACTTAAAATAATGGTGCTTGCTTTGTGTTCCTACAACTATTAAAAAAAAGAAGTGCCTGATCCATAAACTTGTGCCAGTCTGACTATGTTTATATGTTATACTAAATGTACATAGCACATTTCCATATTCGTAAAAAGTTCCATATTCAAATTACATTGAGATGCAGTGTACTGTATTTATACAACAAAAAAAACTGTATAGAAAAGCTGGCTTGTAAAGACAAGGGTTTTGCCCTGAATCAAAGTGCCAGGTAATACTGACACAAAAATTTCTATTTTTATTTAGTCTGGTAACTAAAAACAGTTCTTTATCACAGGTAACACAACTGCCAACTTGACCTCTGCAAGTGTGACCTATTTTCGTCCTGCAACATTCTTCATCAGTGGCTTTTCTAATCTCCCACATGCAAAATACTACTATGTGTTCTTGTGTTTTGTTTACTTTGTGACTGTTTTAGGAAATTCATTTATCATGTGTGTAATTTATATGTCTCGCAGACTTCACACGGCCAAATACATTGCTGTCTTTCATCTGGCTTTTTCTGATCTGTGTGGAAGCACAGCTGTGATTCCAAAACTTATAGACATGTTTTTATTTGGTCACCAGGAGATTTCGTATGAAGCATGCTTGATCAATATGTTTTTTGTATTTCATTTAATGAATTTACAATCTATGTCGCTACTCGTCTTGGCCTATGACAGACTGGTTGCTATTTGTTTTCCTCTAAAGTACCATGCAATCATTACAAAAAAATCTGTATCACTCATCTTAGGCAACATGTGGCTTTTTTCTATTTTTCTTTTTGCTACACTTGCAGGTTTAGTCAACAGACTGTCTTTTTGTAGATCGACTGTAGTGAGTAGCCATTTCTGTGATCATGGGCCTGTTATCAGCCTTTCCTGTAATAGTAATTTTATAAATTATCTCATGGCATATATTTCGTTTGGTCTTCTGATTTGCATGCCGATGCTACTAATAACCATCTCATATTGTTGTATTGCTGCGGCTTTATTTAAGATCGCTCATGGCGCTGATCGAATCAAAGCTATGAAAACATGCACCTCGCATCTCATGTTAGTGGCAATTTTGTATCTCCCAATTTTAAGTTTAAATATAAAATCCATTGCAATATCTATTGATCTTAACTCTCGGATAATTAACAATTCTCTAACGCAAATACTACCACCTATGCTGAATCCCATTATATATACTCTAAAGACAGAAGAGGTCATGCAGGCCATAAAAGAAATGTACCGACGCCGTCGAAAGGTGAACACTATTATGGAACAAAATGTGAAACAGAGAAAATAAATATTATCATTTCACATTTTGCTGTTGAATGAAATGTCATGTCCTTTGTTATGAATAAATATCTGACAGTCTAAAGTTTAATGATTACAAACATTCAAATGAATAGGATTGGCTGTTCAAACATGATGAAATAATTGTGCAAATTTCCTATGTTATTAGAATAGTCAGTGACCTCACATTGTTAAATTAAAAACATGTCATCAGAATCAGTGTGGCTCGTTTGTTGTAGCACCCATTGGCATCACAAACTCAGTTACACACACACAAAATAATTTAGCACAATTTCAGGTATACTGCACTCAAAAAGGCATTCAATGTAATAAAGAGAGGAAGGTGAAATAAGTTCCAGGTGTGCATTTACCGCTCATTGCTGTGTGTGGTTGGGTAAAATGCAAAGCACAAATCTGGAGTAAGCTGGTTCAAATTACATCAGTCACTTACCTTATAAAACAAGTACACAAAGACAGGTCTAGTTCTTATTACATCATTCACTTACCTTATAGGCCAAGTACACAATGACAGGTTTGGTTCATATTATATCATTCACTTACCTTATAGACCAAGTACACAAAGACAGGTCAAAACATTAAAAAAAAAAAAGTGATGAACAACATGTACTCAAATGAAACACAAATAACTTAACGCAGGAACAATGGCAGTGGTGTTGGGCTCAATACAATATTTAGAAAAGCATTCTTGAAATGCATATTGCTTCACAGATAGTAACAGAGAGCATGCACAATTTCCTGTTCAGTAGGCCAACATCTCTGCCTGTGAGTAAGATATAAGCTGGCCTAGGACTGGGTGATTTGGCCAAAAATCTAAATCTTGATTAATTGAGCATTTTAACTTGCTTACGATTAATTAGCGATTATTTTATTTATTTATTTATTTTTTTGCCCTCATTGTTTACTAACAGTTTTTGTACAGTAAATATGCTCACATATTACAAGTGAGTGATTTCTGAATGAAGGGTGCATTACTTGATTTAAAAATAATTAAAGGAAACTGGAAATTAAAACATAATTGCCTAAAACAAACAGTCAATTATTTCTTATAAAAAAGTGAAAACAAATAAATTAATGTTTTTTTAAATTAAAAGTAGAAAATAAGCAGTATATCTTCTAAATAAAATAGCTCTTGTATATCCTGTAAACAATACTTTAAACAATGCATTTCTTGTATCTTCTGTAAACAAATATTTTACTATAAATAATAATTTTATTGTAATGAAAAAATATTCTGTCTCAAGCTTCCAATCCTCATCAATGTCGTGCAAACATGCGACGTGTAGTTACATTTTTTAAAGTGAGTGCAGGTATTCGACTGTGTAAAAGTTGCACCAGACCCTATGTGTGCGCCAGACACAGAACTATAAATCAGCCATAACAGAGTGAGGTCACATGATTCCACATACAGTAGGGAAATAATAAAAAAAAACTGACCTGGAAGAATAAGATTGAGTATATGTTCTAAATGTCGATTCCAATTACTTTTCGAACAACCACCCAGCCCTAGCAGGCCCTCTACTCGGCTTGCTTTAAATAATTTGACACATGGAAAAAAATAATAACTGGGGACCCCTGGTGTATACAGTACATTCTCTTTTTAAAGAATCTCTCTACTTTAAGATTCTTTTAGCCTGTCATACAGAATTTTTATATCGGTAAAAAATATTGTCCTAAAAATATCGGCAGTAACTAGCATTGTTGTTTGCTAACATTTCCAGATTTCCAACTGATTATTTTTAACTTGTGTTCTAAATGTCTTCCATATGTTGTAAATAAAAAATACAAAGTAAATGTCAAACTAAACTAAAGATTTTGATGATCCTGAAAAAAAAATAATAAAAAATTACTTACCTTCTTGTTCAACTTTTCCTTCAACTGAAATCGCTGGCAAGCTGTGATAAAAGAACCAAGCATCTAATTATGCATTTTTTAAAACCATACAGTAGCTTAGCAAAATCACTTGAAGTGATAGTTCACTTAAAGATTTAAATGTATTCACTATATACTAATCCTCAGGTGGTGCCAAACCTTTCTAACTTTCTTCATTCTGTTGAACACTAAAGAAGATATTTTGAAAAAAGCTGAAAACCTTCAGGGCGACAAGGTGGCTCAGTGGTTAGCACTGTCGCCTTACAGCAAGAAAGTCGCTGGTTTGAGTCCCAGCTGGGTCATTTGGCATTTCTGTGTGGAGTTTGCATGTTCTCCCCGTGTTGGCGTAGGTTTCCTCCAGATGCTCTAGTTTCCCCCACAGTTCAAATACATCCACTAAAGGTGAATTGAATAAACTAAACTGTTCATAAAGTATGTGTGTGAAAGAGTGTGTATGGACGTTTCCAAGTACTGGGTTGCAGCGGGAAGGGCATCTGTTGCTTAAAACATATGGTGGATAAGGTGGCGCTTCATTCCGCTGTAGTGACCCCTGATGAATAAAGGGACTAAGCTGAAGGAAAATGAATGAATGAAAATCTGTAACCATTAACTTATATTGTAGAAAAACAAACATGAAATGAAAATCACTAGTTACAGGATTTCAGCTTTCTTCTAAAATACCACCTTTTTTGTTCAACAACAAATAAAGTTTAACAGGTTTGGATCAAGTAAAGGCTGAGTAAATGATGACAATTTTCAGCTTTCCGTGAACAATCCCTATAAAGTGCATGTTTGAGTAAAATAAAGGAAAACAAAAAAAAATTATGCTTTAGACTTTAATTTTTTTCACATTAGACTTTCTGTTGCATAACTTTTATGTTTTATAATAAACTGATTAATGAACTCATAATAAATTAATTACTTACTTTACCTGACTGACTGCAAACACCTCCTGGTTATCCACCAACATCACAACTAGTGGTCATCAGCTAAAAAAAAAAAAAAAAAAAAAAAAAAAAAAAAAAAAAAAACATGCATTAACAGTTTTTAAATGTCAAGTTAAACTATATTTAAACATTCAAATTTCTGATTCTGCTCAAAAGCTAATGTTTACATGTGCTTATCTGCAAGTCTGGTGGCTGATTTTCCAGCTTTGGTCATTGATTGGTGTGGTTCAAAATGGAAGCATGACTCCAATTCTGCCATTTTAAATTAATGTGTAAATAATGAAATATAGCAAAAACTAGCATACACTTTAGAAAACATGGTGATAAAGCAATTACAAATTGTTTTAGGATTCTGATTGTGCATTGAATTTTATAGCAAAAGTATGTTAAATAATATAATGACATATTTGGCATTATGTTTCATTAATGCAAAATATGTCACTTTGATAATGCTAACTACATTGTCTGACCATAATATTAATACCTAATATACTGCAAATGAACCGTAGCCTGATCCTGAAAAACAAACATTGTGAAATAATCAGCAAGAACTAGTTACACACTTTTACTTATAAAATGGGCTCATGAATCAGTGTACAAAAAAAAACAGTAAAGAGTAAAGCTCTGCCTTCTTTGATTCAATTGGTTGGTTAGGGACTTTGAGATTTATAGTACTGTATATATATATAAAGACAAATATTTGGGGGAATAATTTACCCATTTATAAATTACTTTGGGAGACATTTTTGCTTCATTTTCAAGCGGATTGAAGGAAAAAAGGAGGCGAGAGGTGTAGGCCTCTTTTGACAGGCCTATCATTACAGGGCACTTATACCTCATTTAACAGAAACCACAGTAGTAAAAAAATTTATAAAAAATAAAACAACTTGATATTCACAGTGTCCTAAAAATGCCCATTGTGAACTGATGTATTTATACACATCACTGATGTTAGCGGTATCATTTGTTAGAAGGCCTTAACATGATGTTAGCTCTCATTTTAGACTTGGCAAGTCCTTTGAAGTAGTATTGTCTTGAACACTGGAGTATCAGTTGTTTCACAAAATATAAAGAAATTGAAACGTGAAGGTAATGTTATATCTATTTATATGCATTATTTTTTTAACTATTCGCTAAGAAATATTGTAAAATATGCTGACACACTCACTCTTCCTTGAAAACGCTCGTTTTAGTCCTTATAAATGCACACTTTCGATTAGAACGATGAAATATGACGAAAATATGATTACTTCATATTCCTTGAGTAAGTAATAATAATAATTATTATTATTATTACAAAACTCCAGTAAAAATCATGACAGTTTACGTACTTGAGCCTTACCTCTCCCCTTTCTAACGTGAAATGGACGCAGGCTTCCCGCTGAAATATGTAAACTCCGCCTACTTTAAGTTGATTGGCCATCTCAGATCACCTTGTAATAGGTAGCCTAAAAAGTGCCTTTATTCATTTATTTATTTTTTATTCACAGAGTGCTGCACAGTAAATTTCCCTTTTGTCTATTTTTTTTTATTTAACGTTGAATTTCTAAAAATATTAAATAAATAGCACAAGCTTTTGTAAAATTTAGACATACTATTGTTTTCTGGATAGATTGTGACTAATTAACCTCACAAAATCAACCACAAATCAATTTTACTTGTTGTTTTCCCTAAACGATTGATTTAAACCTGTTTAAGAAAATAAAAACACAGTTAATCTATGAATCGATTAAAGAAGCCTTCATGTGTGCTGGTCAAAATGATCATGTAAATTGGCCAAAACTTGAATAATATATATATATATATATATATATATATATATATATATATATATATATATATATATATACACACAAAACAATTGCAAATATTTTATTGGAAATATAGTATATTATGTGCAATTATCACAGATATTGGGATCTGCATTGAGGAAAGCAGAAAGTGGTTTAAAGCACCCTTCAATAAAAGAAAGTGATTCTTTAACAAAATTAAATTCAGTTTTTATTTAAAAACAAAATAATAATGTGCAAAATAGCAACATGTCCTCAGATCAAAGTATCCACCGCATATTCAATGGGGTATATACTCAGCTAGGATTTTTCAGCCAAAGATGAACTTCCAGCAAGAGCTTTATGTGACGATTTTCAATTTCATAAGGTTCCTTTTACAGCATCGGTGTTGTAATGCAATTTAAATACAATCAGTTAAATAGACTTAAGCATTCATTTGGTTGTTTACACGTAAAAAGAGATGAAAGACCAGGCACCGTCATTAGCAGCAAACTAGAGCAGAAATTCCATTGAAAATCTGGGGTAAAATTAGTTTTAATATTTATAAGTCATGGCGTGGAAAAATATAATTAAATACTGCAATTCTTCT